TCTGTGGCTCAATTCTTTATACGCACGCTCCTGAATTTCCCTGCCGGGCGCATAAAATTTGCTCGTAACGAAAAAAATAAAATCAACACTGCCGTAAAGGAAGAAGAGAAAAAAAAACTCACCATAATTCTTTCGCCATGGGTTGATATTAAAAATGCGAGCGGAATATCTTTTCATTCGACACATTTAGCACTTAATCGCTAAAAGATTTTAATGGAATGTCACTAGCAGTGCCAGGCTGAGGATGATACAATAAACGCTCAATGGAACGGTAAGGGCAAATTAGCCGCTGAGGTACAGCCAATTTTATGGCCGTCCCCATAATGACTTCACTTCCATGGCCGGTAATTACAATTGAGCTAGGTAAACGGAGGTGTTGGGCCAGAGACAGCCTGCTGGATCCTGCCTATGCCTCCTTGAAACCATATCGTGTGTGCGGTGACTGGCGCAGAGCTGGGATATCCAATTACTTAACGGAATCTATTCACGATCAAACAGATTATTTGGCGATGCCGCTGCTGCAAGTGGTGCCAGAACACAAACTGACAAACCCAACACGTTTGTCTCTAACAATGTGTGGCCTTAAAATAAAATGTGTGGCATTTCGAACGATGGTCCTTCCCCATTATCGCGCAAAATACGTTGACTTTTTTTGCATATCCGAGATCAACATGAAGACAACATCACCAGTAGCGGAACGAGCCTAGGTTTCCACCCTCGTTGGTGGTCAATGCTACGCGTTGGGGCACCCCTCTGACGAGCACCACGAGATTTGTTTTCATCAACAGTGTCAAACAACGACGACTTCTGTGATGATGTGATTAGGCAGGAGGAGCCGCGATATGTCGTTACGACACCACTGATGATGTAGTTACTACGCCACTGATAATGTAGTTACTACGCCACTGATAATGTAGTCACTACACCACTGATAATGTAGTCACTACACCACTGATAATGTAGTTACTACGCCACTGATAATGTAGTTACGACGCCACTGATAATGTAGTTACTACGCCACTGATAATGTAGTTACTACACCACTGATAATGTAGTTACTACACCACTGATAATGTAGTTACTACGCCACTGATAATGTAGTTACTACGCCACTGATAATGTAGTTACTACACCACTGATAATGTAGTTACTACGCCACTGATAATGTAGTTACTACGCCACTGATAATGTAGTCACTACACCACTGATAATGTAGTCACTACACCACTGATAATGTAGTTACTACGCCACTGATAATGTTGTCACTACACCACTGATAATGTAGTCACTACACCACTGATAATGTAGTTACTACGCCACTGATAATGTAGTCACTACACCACTGATAATGTAGTTACTATACCACTGATAATGTAGTCACTATACCACTGAAAATGTAGTCACTACGCCACTGATAATGTAGTTACTATGCCACTGACAATGTAGTCACTATACCACTGATAATGTAGTTACTACACCACTGGTAATGTAGTTACTACACCACTGATAATGTAGTTACTACACCACTGATAATGTAGTTACTACACCACTGATAATGTAGTCACTACGCCATTGATAATGTAGTTACTACGCCACTGATAATGTAGTCACTACACCACTGATAATGTAGTCACTACGCCACTGATAATGTAGTTACTATGCCACTGGTAATGTAGTTACGACACCACTGATAATGTAGTTACTACACCACTGATAATGTAGTCACTATGCCACTGATAATGTAGTTACTATACCACTGATAATGTAGTTACTACACACTGATAATGTAGTTACTACGCCACTGATAATGTAGTCACTACGCCACTAATAATGTGGTTACTACACCACTGATAATGTAGTTACTACGCCACTTATAATGTAGTTACTACGCCACTGATAATGTAGTTACTACGCCACTGATAATGTAGTTACTACACCACTGATAATGTAGTTACTACACCACTGATAATGTAGTTACTACACCACTGATAATGTAGTTACTACGCCACTGATAATGTAGTTACTACGCCACTGATAATGTAGTTACTACACCACTGATAATGTAGTTACTACACCACTGATAATGTAGTTACTACGCCACTGATGATGTAGTTACTACGCCACTGATAATGTAGTTACTACGCCACTGATAATGTAGTTACTACACCACTGATAATGTAGTTACTACACCACTGATAATGTAGTTACTACGCCACTGATGATGTAGTTACTACGCCACTGATAATGTATGACAGTGCGGAGTGGCTCCCACTCCGTCTGCGAGGCAGATTTCTCCAGGTCCTCCGGTTTTACTCCATCATGCCGACAACTCATTTCGGGTGAACAGAAACTCAGGTTTTCGTCGCCAGTACTGAGCGAATATTTGTTTTTAGTTGAAGTTTAGGCCACGTGATGGTAGTAGTGTTAATGCAGTCATGAACCCTCCACCAGACTGGTCGCGGTTACACGGATGTTGTTATTCGTATTTGCGCGATGGTACCGATGCATCGAAGGAGCTCCGAGTACATTTCAGACGTGGAAATTCCTGACCCGCCGGTGATGTTTATTGGTCGGAGTTTCGCTCGATCCATCGGCAAGTGCGCAACTGTTGTATCTTCGTAAACTCCCCTCCGATTCTGCACTGTTGGCTACGTACGGTGCGAAGGAAGTTCAACGTGCGTACAGACAACCTCGTTGGATTGGCGGAGGAAGAACCACAGGAATGTTGGCGTCAAACTCGCGCAAATTTTTTGACCAAGCATCCGAATGCAGGAGCCTCCTGGAAAGTAGAAAATAAAGTCTTACTTGAGTAAATCAGGGGCATGATCAAACGCATAGTTACTTTTCTTTGATGCTCGTTAGGAGTGACATTTATTTTGCTTCGTGAAAATGAATTCGACTGCTGAGCGAAGGCAATAGCGCCACAGGTGGAGACGCATAGCTCTCCAACATGGCACGATTCAAAACTGGGCCCTCCATGAAGTGGAATTTGCATAATTATGGGATGGCAATGACTCCAACCTTCATCTTTGACTAATTTTGCCTTCTAACTTTACCATCGCCGCCTTGCCACGACGATGAACGAGTGTCTGTCCAGAGCTCTCGGCGTTGGAGAACGGCTCGCTGAAAGAGATATCACAGATGCACGTCTGAGATCCCTTCAAGTGGCATCTTATCCACGTGGTTAGGAAGTGCTGCTCTCTCCCGTATACCGATAAATAGTCGCACGGCAATCACTTTGTGTATTCTAAGAGCTGAAATTTAAGTCAAATTGAGTGCAAATTCCAGTTTAAAATGATCGGGGGAAGGTGGGGAGTGTTGCGTGTGCGGGCATTGTTGAGATCATCAACCCACTGCACCTACAAACTAACATGAATTACCAGCGGCTGAAACCCAGATTTGAACCGAGGATATCAGTAGTGTGGGCTGAGTGACCCGACTCCTGACCCACTTCACTCGTCCTCTTCCCATTCCTCACCACGACTTCTCACCAGGGCCGAATTACATCCAAGTCTGTCTTGAGTCGGTTAAGTCAGAACGTATTTACCTTCCCGGCACACCACACCCAGTATACAAACTCGCTGTGGCCACCACTCGTTGTCAAGTGCCACCTTCTCGAGTCTGCCCAGCAAACATTTGATGTGGAAATGTTAAGCCGGGGCCCGGAACCACAACTTTCACCGCGGCCAGAATCCCACGCAAGTCAGATTTCCCATACATCTCACCCCAGTTTTACTTTTTGTTATTTCACCCCTCCTCGTCACGCTGTGTTGTTGATTGTGCCGCGCGTGCGGTGCCCGCGTGTGACATCCCCGTGCCAGGTGTTGACCAGAGAGTCACCAGCTGCCAACTCGGCGGATTTCTCTCTCCGATGGCCCCACGTGGTGGTGCACAATGGGCGGCTCAGCGCACGCTCGAAAGGCTCGCTAAACTATGAAACTATTACCCTTCATTACTTTACCAGATAAGGCCCACTGAGCTATGTAGCTCTTTTTCAGAAGAGACCTGGCATACAAATGATAGCTCAACGAAGTGGCCTCTCATCACGTGGAAATGTAGAGCAGGCACATTCTCTAACCGCGTGTTGTTCATTCTGAATGTGGAGGGAACAACACGAGAACCCGGAGAAAACCCCACGCGACCACGGGGAGAGAGACACGTGCAAACTCAAAACATACCAGCAGGCGTCGGAGTCTGGCTCGAACCCACCACCACCTGTATACCAGGCGAGGTAGTTAACATCTCGCCACCGTGTCTACAACGGAGGCAGCTCTTTACAGAAGATGCAGAAGCCCCCCAAAACAAATCAACAAACGGCTCCTATCGTCTCGATCCACACGTTGGCTTCGTGTGTTCTGGGCTGATCGGCAAGAGTTTGAAGCTGTGTTAAAGGCACGTACACAGGGCTTCATGCAGCCCAGGCAATGTCTCCTCTGACCTCCTTGAGAACAATGTTCCTGTCCCGTGTCTTATATCCACTACACAGAGCCAGCGCCTTGTAGTTACTGGGAGAGCGATAGAGCGAGGGCGATCTTGGGAATGTCTTCGTGTGATTGTGTTCATGTCTGTGGCTGCGCTACGAACCCGGCGACCCGAGTTCGATTCCCGCTCATGGCCCGCATCGGTAACGAGTATCTAAACCGGTCTTAGGTGACCTCCCCTGGGTCAACTCAGCCTTAAATGAGTACCTGCTGCGGTGTGCGTATAAAACATCAGCACCGAGGAGACAAAGGCGGCCGGGGGCGTGGCACTGTCCACCTACCCCACCACGTGGTGCACAATATAGACCTTCATAGGTGCTCGCTAACATCACTCACACGAACAGCCTTTGAGGACGAAAGGGGCTGATCCTTTGTCGTTTGTATTCTTGCACGCGCTGCTATCGAGCACCGATCGTGAAGGTCAGCGCGGCGCATTTGCCCACAGCAGTCCGGTAACGTCTCTGAGCGAAATCTGTGTCCGTGTTGTGTCCGTGTTGTGTCTGGCGTGTGACGGTGCAGTAGCAGCAGCAGCAGCAGCTGCGAGCTCAGAGTGTCCACCGACACCTCGGGGAGCATCACTCGCCAGCGACATGACGTCCTCCTTCAAGCTGGACTTCTTGTCGGACGGGATGTCCGGCCACGGCTCGGCTGAGCCCCTCTTGTGAGTAGCCCCCCCCCCAACACCATCGCCCCCCCGTGCCCCCCCTCCCGTGCACCACCCCTCCCCCCGTGCCCCCCTCCGTGCCCCACCCTTCCCCCCCCCCGTGCCCCCCGCCGCCGTCTCTGTCCACCCGGCATTGTAAATGAACAAAAAACTATTATTTGTATTTTACCAGGTGAGGCCCACTGCGCTATATAGCTCTCTTTTTTTTCAAAAGCCAGCTGGCCACAAATGATTGCTCAACGAGGTCGAAGGCTTATCGTCATCACGTGGACATTTCCAGCAGCCACATACTCTAAACGCTTGATGCTGATTGTAGATGTGGAGGAAACACCCCGAAGAATCCAGCGAAAATTCTATGCGACCACCGAGACAGAGAGACAAATACATGGGCGGCGTTAGTGTCGGGATCGAAACCCCACGACCTCTTGCACACCAGGTGAGGCACTTAACATTTCGACACCGTGGCATTCACCGCAGCGAGTTGATCAGGCCGCGTGCGGTGGGGTAAAGCGTGGGCACTCCCTCCTGCTCCCCCAAGACGTCTGGCCGGCGTGGAAGCCGAGGCCAAATTACTCCGAAGAGTTTCCCCTTAACCTCCACCCCCACCCACCCCTCCTAGTGGAGGCCTTTCCGCCAGCACAGGTGACAAGCGCAAGAGGCAATTGCAGGGCTGCTCCTTTGCCTCTCCCGATTTCGTTTTGACGAGAGTCGAGGGGGTGGGGGGGGGTGGTGAATGTTGGCTCTTGATTTGATGGCGAATGGTTTCGGGGGCTACCTCCCCAGCCCTTGACGTTGCCATGCCCTTGACCTCCCCTGACCCGACCCCCACCCACATCCTCGTTCATTGAGCCCTTTATAAAAAACGAGAGGCCGTGGCTCGCTGTCGGCGAGGCTTCTGCGTGAGAAGCGACCTCGCCAGCGTTTGTTTTGTTTTTCTCTCAATGCCGCGACCCGCGCGCTTTATTACTGCGATGAGAAATACGACGGCACGGAATGCCGCGGCGATGCCCTTAATGCGAGGCGGGCCCTGGTGAATGGCGCTCGCTTGAACAATAATAAAAATGATCTTCATTATTATTAACATTTGTAAGGCGCGTTTTATCCGTGGATCCCACCAATGCGCCCCGTGTTAGGAAAGCAGGAAATAAACACAACCTTCCAGGTATGCGGCCAGAATTAGACGGGGGAGTGAAGGCCACGTTAAATGTGTGAGTATTCACGGCAGGACTTGAATAGCTCGAACAACTCTGTCTTTCGAACAAAGGCAAAAACACATTGTCCTGCGGAGGGAGCTGGTAGGAACGTTGGGTTGCTCGGTCAATGGCCAGGGTCAACGGCGGCGTGGTGTATTCCGCAAATATGCCTGACTGTGAGAGCGGGCACAAGCCGGCATGAGTAGGTTAAACGTTGAGTTTTATAAGGGCACCACGGGGTGACCAGCCCCTCCCCACCCAGCCCCAGCCCCTCCCACCCCCCACCCAGCCCCACTCTCCCCACCCAGCCCCTCCCAACCCTCCCCACCCAGCCCCTCCCCACCCTCCCCTCCCCTCCCCACCCAGCCCCTCCCTCTCCACCCAGCCCCTCCCATCCTCCCCACCCAGCCCCTCCCCACCCTCACCTACCCCACCCAGCCCCTCCCTGCACGACGGACGGACTGACACAATAATCCCATGTAGGCTGGTGTATCCAGGAAGTTCCTACCAGAACAATTCTCGCTCCACAGCCTGGGAGATGCGCAGTGGCCAAAGCCCCGTGACCTTCGGAGTCCTTAGAAGAAGCGCGCTCCGAAGTTCTTGGGGACACCTTTGGGAGTATAAATAAGTAATATAAAAAAAATAACTTTTTTTAAAAACGGCCAACACCGGTGACGATTATCTGAACCGGTCCCGGGCCTCCCCTAGGTCGACTCAGCCTCAAATGAGTATCTGGTGCGGTGTGTAAACATGCCACTAGGGAGACAAAGGCGGCCGGGCGTGGTGCTGGCCACCCACCCCCTCGTGTACCGTTCCGGCCTTCATAGGTGCTCGCTAACAGCACTTGCCCCTACAGTATGTTAAGGCTATACGGGGGATCTTTGTCTTTGTATCTGTGTGTGTGTCTGTACACGCCACCATCCACCGCCTGTGCGCTGACGAGCGGGACGTGCGTGGTTCATGGGTTGCGGTTTTTTTCGTCTTCTGCTTCGTTGTATTGGATTTGAGCGCGGCACTTGCCAGATGTTGTAAACTTTTTTGTTTACGAACAACAACAACAACAAAAGAGAGAGAGGGGAGCAGTAAACCCCCATTGGGTTGGAGGAAAGGGAAAGACGTCACCTTTCTGTTGGGCGCGTCGAGGTGTTTGTTTGTCCTCTTGTTTTGTTGGTTTTTAATTAGGTGTAATATTTAAAGAGCAGTCGCAACCTTTACTGGAGTTTAGTGCGGCTGTAGCATTGAGGGCGGAAGGCGGCATGGATCATAATTTGGGTTTTTGTGCGCGAGTGTGGGCGTGAGTTTGTGTGTGGGAGCGAGTGTGTGTGGGCGAGTGTGTGTGGTCGTGTGTGTGCGTGTGTATGTGTGTGTATGTATGTGTGGTCGTGTGTGTGCGTGTGTATGTGTGTGTGTATGTATGTGTGGGCGTGATTGTGCGTGCGAGTGTAGGGGAGCGGTAGTGTAGCAGTTAGCGCGCTACGCTATGAAGCTGGCGGCCCAAGTTCGATTCCCGCTCACGGCCAACACCAATAACGATTATTTGAACCGGTCCTGGGCTTCCCTTAGGTCGACTCAGCCTCAAATTAGTACCTGGTGCGATGTGTACAAGGGAGACAAAGGCGGCCGAGCGTGGTGTTGGCCATCCACTCCCTCGTGTGCCGTACCAACCTTCATAGGTGCTCGCAAACAGCACTTGCCCCAACAGTATGTTAAGGCTATACGGGGGATCTTTGTCTTGTATGTGCGAGTGTGATGAGTGTGATGAGTGTGACTGCGTGCATGTGCGGGGATTTCCGTCAAACCCACAATGAATGACACGGCATGGGGTGGCCGTCATCCAGCAGTGAATTTGACAAACGGCTGCAAATTATCCCCGTGCCATCATCATTATCATCATGACGATACACAAAACACGCGCGTACATTTGCCCCCCCCCCCCTTTTCTCCGCACCACGCACAAGCATCCCCCGGGTAATTTCCGCATCTCCTTTTAGAAGGTTGCGCCCGCGTGCGGAAGCGCTGACATCTCTCAAATCGTACCACTTTGAAGCCGCGTCGAGCGACGTGAAACATCTCAGCCGAGTGCGCGTGCACCTCGAGAGGAGGATGCGTCACTGTGGTCGCGAGGCGGAGAGCGCGGATTTAGAGAAGAGAACGCCGGCCGATGCCATCGCGTTGCCCGTTGTGTTCGGTGAAGCGAGTGGCTGGTTGCTTCGGGGGTTCAAGGACGCGACGCTGCGGGGGACGATGACACCCCGATAGTTGAAAATATCAACGTAGCGGGCACGAAGGACACGCCATAGTCCGGGAATAAGATGGAGCGATTACATCAAGTCGTGTGTGTAGCGGCTAGTGTAGCGGTTAGCGCGCTGCGCTAAGATACCCGGCGACCCGAGTTCGACTCAGCCTCAAATGAGTACCTGGTGCGGTGTGTAAACATCGCGGCTAGGGAGACAAAGGCGGCCTGGCGTGGTGCTCGTGTGCCGTGCCGGCCTCCATGGGTGCTACTCGCTAGCAGCACTTGCCCCGACAGTCTGCTCAGGCTACACGGGGGGTTTTGTAGCGGCTATGTGGACTGTTATCATTGTGTGTGTATGTTGAAACTTCCTTCGCATCGTACGTAGCCAACCGTGCTAATCGGAGCTGCGGGGGAAGGACAACAAACTAAACACGGAAGGCAGTTCTACGGAAATGAATTTTGTCAATCTAGATGATGATGATTTAAAAGTGCGTAGCTCCAGTGGCTTCCTGATATCGGAAGGAAGAGCGTTCCAGACGGCCACAGAAGTGCGTCTGAAAGCGCCGCGCGACGATGATGCGGTGACCGCCGCCTTTGTTCATCCAGCAGTGGCTGGAGCCTGGCTGCTGCTGCTGCTCCCTGCGTCTATAACAACAACAACAACACTAACAATGATAGTTTGTAACGTGCACAATTTTCACTTTCCCGAAGGCAGCGGACCCTGAGTCGAGGGGCCCAGCTCAGACATCCACTCAGTGAAAGTGAAATAAAAAGATGTCGCTTTTGAGAAGGCGCTTGAAGGCGAGTGTGGAATGTGTGGGGGGGGGGGTGTGACGGCGTTCCAGGTGGAGGAGGAGGAGGGGGGGGGGCAGACAACGGAAAAAAACGACGCGCGGCGATCGTGGTCCTGACTCTCGGTGTCGAGAGAGTTGCGGGAGAGTTCCGGGAGAGTTCTGGTGGTATGGAGGAGGTGGTGGGTGGTGTGTGGGGAGGGGCAGCCCAGGGTCTCACCGTTACACAGCGACGACGCGAGCCACCAAAAGTGCAGCAGTCGCCACCGAGCGAAAGTATCGCCTCGTTCCAGGGGAGGGTGCGGGTTGTCCCGGGGGCTCAACAACGCGAGGCATTATCCTGCTACGGCGGCGGGGCTTTGCGCAGATTTGGTGGTGGTGGCGGTGGTGGCGGTGGGGGGGGGGGGGTGCTGACTGATAAATCACCAGAGCGGCAGGAGTAATGAAGTCGAGTGACTCGCGCCGCCAGATGTTGGTGTTTGGAGAAGCAATTATCGCGCCGCTGTCACGGCGACAACCGCGGTGCTTTTTGCAGCCTTCTAACTTTTTTGTTTGACTGAGCACGTGGGCCACAAAGGCCCAACACGCGAAGCCGGCAGCAACAACATAAACATGATCAAAGTTGTTACATCGTCATCATCATCATCACCACCATTGTCATCACGATCACTTGGGGGCTCACGAAAGGGCACAGGGGAGGGACGGGGAGGGGTGGAGGGGCGAGGGAAGAGGACGACAATGGGCGACAGGGAAGCGCTGAGCCCGCACCCCTCGTGC